AGAGAGAGAGAGAGAGACCCCCGCAGCCCGACCCCGCACCCGCGCCCCCGACCCCCGCAGCCCAACCCTGGACCCCCGCATCCCCGACCCCCGCTGCGACCCCCGGCCTCGGCAATCCCGGTCCCGCACCAGCAACCTCCGCCCCCGGGCGAAGGACCACCCAGGTCCCGGCAGGGGAGGGTCTATCCCCGGGGGGGGGAGGGGGGGGGGGTTCCAGAGGGCCATTTTTCTGCAAAATGCAGAAAATGCCGGCGGGTAGGCCGCAACGCTGTGCACGCCCGAACCCAGACCCCCGGATCCCCGCCGGGGGTCCGGGGATGGGGGTCGACAACGCTGGTCGGCACTAAGTCATAACACAAAACTGGCTGCCACAAACAACCATTTGCATGCAGGTCACTCCAAAACGCATCCATGGACGCAGGAGAAGGAATGGAACAAACTGCACAGCTGTAGGCTGGACTACCTGGTTACAGATATCCAGGTAGACCCATCAAGCTGCTGGACCAGGACCTCCTCATCTCCATTTCTTCTTGACAGCTAAATACAAAGTTGTGCAAAAAAGGAGAGAGGAGAGAAGACAAAGGACAGAGGAGGGGGGCGAGGGAGAATGCATAGAAAACTGACCACCTCATTCTGTCCCATCCCCTACCTCAATCTATCAACAGAGAATCTACTAATATACGTCCCATCCTCCGCTGATCAGGTAAACATTCATGCTTATCATGGCGAGGGCTGGCCACAGGCAGGGATGAAAACCGAGTTTATGCATACTCCACAGCTGCAGAATGATGGTACAAAGCACTACAAACAAAGGAACTGCCTCCTTCCAGAGTGTTGTTTACTCATGCTCTCATTCTTGCTTCTACGTCAGTATCAACTACAGCAACAACCAATTGGGAGTGGTAACCGGTGCTGACTTTAACAGATGCACTTGCACACTCTCCATGCACATTGCACTCTATGCCAATGCAACGCAAGAATTACACTGTCCCATCACACCTAAATTGACCTAATCCATCACAGATACTGTTAGTTTGCATTGTTCAGTTATCCACAACCTTACCCACCTCTGTAACGGACAGTCAAGGCCAAACTTTCTCTAACCATTCATATCATTCATTACTTCGCACAAACTACATAACCCCTGCCAAGCCGAAAGGATGTGGCCAAACAGAAGGCTACATAACCCCTGCCAAGCCGAAAGGATGGGGCCAAACAGAAGGACAATTGCCCAATGGGCCTATACAGTTGACTGACCTCAAGAAGAGCACGTTTCATTGGTATGGAGTCCTCCTTCAGGCAACTATGGAGTGCCTCAGCTCCTTCTGTCATCAACAGCCTAATCCTGCTCATTTCCTTCTGGCTACACAGCATGATCTGCGCACAGCATCAGCCACACCAAACAACCAGAAAGCAAAGAGGTATTTAGAATTTACTATTTACAGAGCCTGTGTTATTCCCTATTGCTATTCGTCGCAATCTATAAATGACATGAAGAAATTCCCAGACAAGTAGGCGAGACTTTTCTGCGTATGGGGATCACTCTCACGGCTCAATTACACATGCCGCAGGCAGTTGGAGATCATAGCTGATTGTGTACTTAATGCCGTCACTCATATGCCCTTGCAGATGCTGCTCCTGGCTTGAGTCTTGCTTTAGACAGGGGGGAAGATGTCCGACAGGTTCTGGGTTGTACGGATCAGGTCAGACAACCAAAAACGGAAAACGTTATCTTCTGTAGAATTTGCAGTAGAAACAAATTTTACAAGGCTTGCCTGAAAATTACCTACCCAGCTCACAATTAAGAACAAAAACTTGGATAAATCCGATAAAGAAATTTACAACAGCCCTTTAAAATTCCCTGTATACCCCCTATACCTACCCCCTATACCCCCTCTGCAGCCCACATATGGTATTTGAAAACAAGCTCGGATTTGTTGGGCAGCCCAGGGGTTTGGAACCAGGACCTGCCCATTAGTTCAGGATAAGCCTGGACTGTATCAGGTCCACATTGTTCTCCCTTTTTCTCTGTGCATCATGTGCAAAGCCAACGAGCTCCCGGTGCATACATGCAGTATTTAGTGTGGACAACCTCGTTTGTTTGCTGCAGTGCCAGAAGAAAAATAAGTGGAGGTCTGGGCTCGAATGCAGCAAATACAAGAAAAAAGACAACTGGACTTCCCATACACATCCAAGGCACAGATTGCAACAATCCCTCTCTGATTCTTCGATCGATGCCACAGGCCATATGATTTTTTGACACGCGCCATCGGGGCCGATCACCACCCGGATGGTGACAGGGTTGGAGAGAGGCAGGGAGGGGATCCCGCACCATTCAGGACTTGAATTGGGTGTGCGTTTTTACTCTGTCTCCGTAAAAGAAGGAAAGAACTCTTCACTACCAAAATTGAAGCGGCGCTGGGAAACCGCACAAACACTCAGAAATAAAACAAATACTGGGACCATTACACAGCTTCGGTTTGGGGCATCGACCTCAACCTGAACTCAATTCAGACCAAAGCCGGGTCTGCTGATCCAAATAGTCCATGTCCGAGGGGGGCGAGACCAATCAACCAGCTTCCAAAACATTACCACTGATCACTCCTATAGTTCCAACCTATTCCGCTATCTAGTGTACTGCTAATACAGAACAGACTAATTAGTAATTCTCTGAGTGGGGATCTGGGCCACCCGGGTGACCGGCAGGGGCCCGGGGCAGGTCCCGGGCGGCCTGGCCGGGCAGGGCACCCCGTTGGGGACTGGCCCCCCCCAGCGCACTCACCTGTAGGGGGATTTCGGACCCCCTTTGTGTGTGTGTGCGTGTGTGTGTGTGTGTGTGTGTGTGTGTGTGTGTGTGTGTGTGTGTGTGTGTGTGTGTG